TGCTATATAAAGGCGACACTCAGCTGCAAGTCAAGTTAGTGATAAAGTAAACTCGTTGGCGTTAACATCAGTAAAGTCGTAAAGTAAACACGTTGGAGAGTACATTTAAGTAGAGTGAATTGTGCAAGTTGATGATAGTGATTGTAAATAGTAGAGTGTATTGTAATTGTATTGTGAATTACGGAGTAAATAAAAGACATTAGATAAAATCTTTATAACGAAAGAAACTGCAAATTGAATTGGCGAGTTTTTATTTAACAATCCAGAGATCGTACCCGAAGGTTTTAGAAAATAATCGAGGTTGATTTAGTAAAATCGTAACAATACGTTCTTTGACAATACGTTCTCTAATTGGACGTTCTCTGCAACTAACGAGACTGTCGATTTTGACAAAATTGCGTGTCTGGCTTTGCTATCGATCACAACTTTTCTGCTTTCACTATAGGCTGTTCTCAGCTGTTAAGTGATTTCGGGATTCCATCTGATAGTTTCCATCTCCTCTAATACAGATACATTGGAGTTTTATGAATATATTTTGATACGATAACAGTAAGAAAAGTTGTTTTGAATAGTGTAATAATAAAAATCAGCGGCTTGTATTGTTGAAGGAAAAGTTTACACAATGTCTAAAGATGATAGAGAGTTAGATTTGTCAAATGCGGGCCGTGGTGTATGGTTGGTTAAAGTTCCGAAGTATATTGCTCAAAAATGGTCAAAGGCACCTTCGAATATGGATGTGGGAAAATTACGAATTTGTAAGACCCCAGGACAAAAGGCACAAGTCTCTTTATCACTTACACAAGCTGTTGTTAATTTAGACCCAGAAGAAAAGATTCCTACTGAACATATATTAGATGTGTCAGTGGTCACAAAGCAGACATTAGGTGTTTTTTCCCATGTCATGCCACCAGAGTCCAATAATATTAGTAATGGAAAAGACAAAGAAACTCAGCCAGTTAGTGAAGCTGAAAAGTTGTATATGGAAGGACGTATTGTACAGAAATTAGAATGCCGTCCAATTGCTGACAACTGTTACATGCAATTAAAGTTAGAATCCATACGTAAAGCGTCAGTGCCCCAACGCAAGGTTCAACCCATAGACAAGATTGTACAAAATTTCAAGCCGGTCAAGGACCACGCTCACAATGTAAGCCTCATATTCAAATTTCTTAGCTGTAGTGATATATATATTATTGTATCTTTTATTTGCAGATTGAATATCGCGAAAGAAAGAAAGCAGAAGGAAAGAAAGCTAGGGATGACAAGAATTCAGTCATGGATATGCTGTTTAATGCCTTCGAAAAACACCAGTACTATAACATAAAAGACTTAGTCAAAATAACTAAACAACCCATTGGATATCTTAAGGAAATACTTAAAGAGGTCTGCGATTATAACATGAAGAATCCTCACAAAAATATGTGGGAATTGAAGAAGGAATATCGCCACTATAAAACTGAGGATAAAAAAGATGAAGATAAATTGGCAACGGAGAGTGATTCAGATTAGTGTAAAACCAAACATATTAAGTTGAAAAATCTTATCCAAATAAATATTTGCACCTTCAACTACGGTTAAGGATTGACTACTGAAATATAGATCCAATTTGACTTCTATGCTAACGACATCACAAAAATTGCTTAATGACAAAATTTCATTAGACTATAAGAGATGCAGGGAGTCCAAAAATAATTATCTATGTATGGAATTGCGCATCTGCCGCTGCAAAGTTTGTTTGTATTCCTCCCGACCATAGTGACCCCATTATTTGTCGCTAATTAACCTGAGGATTTATCAAATTAGCGGAAGACAGAAATGAAAATAAATAGCGATGCTGAAATTAGTGATATTAAAAAAAAAATTGTAGAGAAACGCTTAAACCATTATCCATAAAAGGGAGGCGATTTCCATGATACACTAAGGAAATACAATGTTGTTGTTGTTGTAAACGCGAAAATATTCTTCAAAGTACTTTTTGGGGAATGTTGCGGGAGTGCCAGTCCTTGGCCGGATAAAAATCCGGGTCGTTCGGGTATAAAGACCCGACTGTCGCGGGAACGATAGGATACTAGTCTGCTCTTACGATAGGCATGCCTTACCGCGATTAAATTCAAGTCACCGAGGTCATCTAATGGGAGGACCGAGTTCGGACTAATGTTACGTGTTGAACTAAACGTGGTAAGATAAGGGTGCCAGGTTTTACCGGATAAAATCTGGGTCAACACCGTTGTATAGAACAAGCTGTCGTGAGAGTTGGCCTTTACCAAACCCTACCCTACTGACTTAAGCCAATACGTATTCTCACAAGGATAGAGAAGGAAGAGACCGTTGATGACCACATATCACAAAATATGGACGAACATCATATATGTATGTATGTGTGATCACTGTTATCACAGATTTCGTCACAACTGCAGAACCGGAAAGTCGATACTTCATCCTAGCTCTTACAGCCTTAAGAGAATTTGGTCAAATTGCACATGGAATTTGAAAGGTCGTGTCGAGATTTGCTTTTGAATAGGCCAACCGTTTTGGCGAACGCTTCCAGAGTAAAAACACAATCCTTAAACGACACAATTCTTTTTAAGGATTTTTTTGCTTCGAAAAGTCGTTGCGTTAGGGCAAAAAATTTTTAAAATATTTCGGAATATGACAGACAGGAAAGCGCTAGGTTGGGGGATAAACCATAATCCAATCAGTTATTAAAGTGGCGTTTGCTGACTCCTGCAATTGATTATCACATAATCTCCGTCTCGCAAATAGATAGGAAAACGAGGAACGTCATCAATGGAGTAAACTTCTTGCTTGGACGAAGCATTAAGATTGACCTGCATAGCAAAACTATTGAATTCAAAAACATGGAAGTGCTACTTAACATTGATTATAATGACTCATACAGTAGCTAGCGTGTAGTTCTTAATAATAACGAACAGGTATCATCATAGTCAGAAGCAGTTGTTGTTGGGTTACCTTCTGCTTGTTGGATAAAGTTTGGAGATCGGCACTTTTAGATGAACGGCTGAGAGACGTGAAATATTACAGCGAATGCTTCCTTAACCGATGTCTTCGAAAGAAGACCAACCTCTGGATAGGAACCCAACAGGTACAGGTCCATATTGATATTCGGCGCCGTAAATGAAAATAGATTGAGCACACTTAGCGAAAACTTCTCCAAGACATTACTAGAATAGCACTAGACGGGAACCCGGAAGCAAGCCGAAGGCACGGGAGACCACCCAACACTTGGTGGCAGGAATGCGAAGCAGAAGCACAGAAAATTGCTTATTCTTGGCGAGAAAACAAGTTGTTGCCGTCAAATAAGTCAAATTATACATGAAATGTGTATATCTGCCGCTATTAACTGGCATTCATGTTTTTTGGAAATTTTATTTAATTTTTAAATAAAAGTTATTACACTATTTCTTACATAACTACATCACCTTGGCTATGAGCCACTGCACGTCCTTCTGCTTATAAGCTACTTTAGAATATGGCCGGAGGTCTACCAGTATTCAAAAAACCCGAACGACAACCGATTCATGGAAAAGCACTTGAAGATCAGGATGATTGGAATATCCACATATTTCTGTTCCTGTTGAGATATCGGCCGCAATGTATAAAATAATGGGTAAAACATCAGCAAGGATACTCTTCGGTAGAGAACTTCGGCTGCTATTTTTTTTGGGAGATTTAGAGTAAATGGTGTCGTGAGAAAGAACGTCCTACAGGAAAAACTGAGAGAGAGATATGCTTTTATAAGACATCAGTCTCAAATTATTAATGAAAAGACGAAGGTCAGGTACGATAAGGCCATGAAGAGGGATAATGTTATATACAATCCACAACGGAAGAACGGTTTTCCCCAAAACTTCAATGAAATTAGGGAAGTTCCCTATAAGGTAATTAAACTGCTAAACAACTGCTTTCTGACCCTTTTCATTAGCGAATGAATTATCACTGCTTCACATAATGAATATTTTCGATCCCTGTTTTAAAGCCACAGGTCAGGTGTCAGCTCTTGGCCGGATAAAAGCCATTTCCGGTGCGTAGAACCGGCTGTCGTGATAATTGTCAGTTTCGGTGCAGAGAACCGGCTGTCGTGAGAGTTGCTAGATGATCTCGGTGGCTTCGACTAACTAACTTGTCCCTAAGCGGTGTTGGAACAACAACAACAAGCAACATACTATTTCGGCGATGTGCTTTCAAAACGTTCCTTGTACTATTTTTAGAAATCAATCGTTATGATGCTTCCTTGGTGTGAAAGTTTTGCTTATGTACATCTCATACTTATCTTATTGAATATAAAAGGCGTTCCGCGAAAACTAATTGCATATTAAATGAAACATTTACTTTTGTAAAATGATATTTATTTTTATGGTGCAAGTATTAATCAATCACACTTATATAAACATAAAAATATCTTATTCATTATCTTAGAGGATATAATTATATACATTCTTGCACATGTACATGTGATCATATTTTTATATGTATTGTATGTACATACAGAGTGTAATTTACATATATTTATTTTATAACTTCTCAGTTTCAGTGAACCTCAATTGTACTAAATTTCAGTGCAATTTTTTTAACATAAAGTTAAAGTATTGCTACGTAATTTTCCTCATAATCCTCGTTTTAAACTACTAATCTTATTATTAAACTACCCTCCTCTATTATCATCGAGGATTCAGGTACAATGTTTTAAAAAAGATTTGTAATGTTTAGTATAGTGCCAAGTTTACTCAAATATAAAAAAGTTCAATTATTCTCAATGATTAAACAATTTACAATTAATACATAAGGAGAACTATGGGTTTAACTCATATTTATAATACACTGACCAATTATATACAGTATACAAGAAATTAATTTTAAAAGATATTGCACTTCACTCAAATATATGTATGTCCGACATATTTTATATGCTCACTGTGCGGAAAGTGCTACAAACATAAGACATTTTACGAATCCAAAAATTATTCACATTATTTATGATACTTTTACCACTTTTTGACGTACATGTTTTGTGGTTGGTACAGCATTATTCTGCTTAGGCACGGGTACCGCCGTTGACTATAAATTTTGATGTAAGGTGGCCTAATTAAAGTTTTCGGAGAGTAGATTATATATTGTATTGTATGTCAATCCGCCAATGATTTCTGCACCAACTTGCAATTCGAGATGTTCATATTTTACAATAAAAAACTTCTTTAAAACCAAATTAAATTTGAAAATATACACCACTTATTCCTTAATTAAAATACTACACAGTAGCTAGTAACGGATCTACACAGTCATTTTGTTGTCATAACGAACACTCTTCGGTTGAGAAAATACCAGAATCATAATCATCGTTGATGCTAGGTAATTTTTCAATTTGCTTTAAGGGGCGTACAACATTTAAATCAACGTGCACCGTTTGAATGCCATTCCTAGTTAACTTCGCATTTACTCTACAGTCAGATGTAACGAGCGATTGATCACTGTTGGGCTTCGCTAGGATACTCTCCTTTGGCAGTTTAGAATTTATTATACCAATATTGTCTTCAATGGCAACAGTATGCCGTTTTGTATCCAACAAATCCAAGTTAATGTCGCTCCATGCTGACGGTTTATCGGTACATTTATTTTTAACTGCAATTTTGATGTTATTTTGATTTGCCTGGAAAATAGACATCATTAAAGCGATTGATGTTATGAATAGATTTGGGGACTATATGTGCATAGAGAGAAAAAAAGGGATTAAATGGTAACTAAATTGCTTGAATCGTGTAACATTCTTTGCCAGACTCTTTTAAATAAAGCTTAAAAAATTAAACCGAAAAAAACTAAAATGCTTTATTACTTATTCGCGTCTAAATAAAAATAAATATTTTCAAAACATTGCACACACCAGAAGCAAAGTTGACAGAAAGTATCTTGACACGTAACTTTCTTCCTTTTTTGTCATTACATCTTGAAAAGTAATGGACGTCCCAAAAGTAATTGGTTTTTGTATGTCGTTTATAATTTCTGTACCCAATTTGAAAACGTCGAAATGATGACGATCTCTCGCTTTTGCTAAAATAGGTTGCAAGTACTCATGCCATTTTTGAATCTTGAAATAAAATAAAAAGCTATTTATGTGATCTTTTTATGAATTTTAAACGGAGTACCTTTGTTTTACTCTTGTCAAAGTCAATTTCATTTTCGATATATTTCAAATGACTTTCAGTAAATTCTGACGAGTCCATAAGCGTATCAAATTTCGCGTTAATATCATTCTCATGGCTTACAGACATATCATTGTCGGAGATATCTGCTGCACTTGAAGACTCATTAAGCTTGCTAATCTCATTAATATTTATAGCATTCACAGTTTGATCGCACATAGACTCAACTTCTTTGTTTTCCTCGATGTTTTCAACTTCCGTAATTGGATGTAAAAAATCGGCTTCCTTAACAGATTCTTCATTTATCGCTTCAATGTTATTAGACGTTAGGAGTGCATCTGCGTCTACGCCGGAATCTCTACTCAAACGGTGTGGGATTATGCTTGCTTGCTCCTCTTCAGTAAATCCGAGAAAATCTTCAACATCTTCACTGTCACTGTGTATATTACTATCTAAAATATTTTAAAACATTATTACGAAGCTTCAAGGTCTTAACGTACCTATTATTGCACAGTGTTTGTCTGTATATGCGTCGTAAGAATCTTGAAACCTTTTGAAATGGTGTGAGATATCAGTTGCTTGCTCCTCTTCAGTAAATCCGAGAAAGTCTTCGTAGTCTTCACTATCACTGAGTATATTATTATCTGAAATGGTTGAAAGTATTACATTAAAATTAAGTTTATAGGTGTTAGGGAATAAATGTACCGATGGTTGTATGTTTGTCCGTACATACGTCGGGGGAATCATTAAACAATTTCATTGGCCTATATTGTCGTCCATTCACATCTGAGCAATTAGTTTTCTTCATAGAACGCTACAGAAAGATTAAATAAAACAGAGTGCGATACCGAAGAAAACGGCTGTTAACTATGTATTTACCGACTGAAGAAAAAGGTCCATTTCCGTGCCTAGCTTGAATAAGAGTCGTCGTCTAACGATTTTTTCATGAAATTTGAAAATATTAAGCTCTAGAGGTGGTGTTGGAGGCTGTATTTGAATAGGTAAGATATATGTGGGAGGCGGTTCATCATCTACTAAGTTTAAAATGCTCCTTATTTCGTCATCAACAACAATGGTTATGTTTTCCTTGTTTGGAATGCTGGGAAAAACATCGGTGGTCAAAACCCTAGGTGAGAGCATTCGGTGTTCCTGGTCATCTAAGTCCGAAAAGTAAACACCTTCATCGTCTAGATGTGGTAGGTAAACGCGAATTTTATTCAAGTTGATTTCGTTTTCATCTGAGGAATATTAAAATTTTACTTTTCTCTTTATACTAAGAAATAAAAGACGACAATGCTCACCATTTTCCGATTTTCTTTCATCAGCTAATATAATACTTCGTAGATCAAACGATTCTTCGTTATTCGAAGCAGATGGAACACTTTGTTTAACTAACAAATCATTGCTGGAATTGTTCGTATTACTTAGATCAATTAAGCTTTCACCTATACCAGTATCATTCTCATCCTTTTCTGCTGCGCTGCCGTTTAATGTATTTTCCTCAACATTGTTATTTGATATAGAATTACCTGATAAATTATTTTCAGAACTCATTACTGAAGCGTTAACCAAACTATCTGAATTATTTGTCGACTCTAAATGAGACTTTTCAGTCGAATTCAAGTTTTGTGATTGATTAGTATATGTACTCTGGTCTGTAAAATTTTCGTTACTTGTGTCTTTCTCATTACTTATTGTTATTTCACTGCGGTCATTTGTTGAAAGTTCACTTATATCTAAAGAAAAATCCACAAGTGATGTATTAATGGGATCGGCTGTTTCATTTTGAGAGTCGCGTGTACCATTTATTTCTTCAGAAGTTTTATGACAGTTCTGATTGGGCTCTTCATTGGATTCTCTTAACATTTTTTGATTTGGTACAACCTCAGTTAAAACGGCTTCTTCACTCTCATAATCTAGTCTAAGCCTCTTACGATTCTTTAACACTTCTCCAATGGCCAAAACTCTATTCTCCAAATCTAAATACTTTTCAACATACTCCTCAGAAAGCGGTGGCCAATCGGAGAGAACGTTTGAAGAGTTGTCACTATATTCTGACGCGGCTTGCAAACGTTCTTCCTCTTCGTCAATGTAGTCCTTTACTTTGAAATGTAATCTGAAATTAATGTCTGGTACCAATGTATTGTAGCGGTGCTCTACATGATATGTAAAAAGCTTATAATTTCGTTTTGAATCAATTTCGTCCTCGTTTTCTAAATCAGCTACACTTGCATGTATCCATGCAGACGGATGTATAAATTGCTCTGATTCTATCCTGTAAAACTTTGATGTACTTATTTTATTTTTCTCAAGAAATTTTCCTGTTAAAAAACGTTTCTCTTCGGTCAATTTGCGAAATTTTCTTGGAGTCAACTCCACTTCATAAGGATCGTCTACTGGCGCTACCAAACGTTTTCGCGTGCGTTTGGGTTTCTCCTCGAGACTTTTATTTAAATTTTCATTTCTATAATAACGAGATATAAATTGAAATTATTTACGATAATACTTTGTTAATTTTATATACAAATATAAATAATATTTATTCTTACATTATAACTATAGTTTAAAGTCAAAAAGTTACAAATGATTATTTTAATTTTTTACCTATTAGTTTCAACTTCCTTGTCTGCGTTGGTTAAAGTCAGTATTTGACGTTCCACTAGTTCTTGTACATAATCTACACGCCTCGCGTACACCTTCGATGAATTTATTAGCAATAAGCCAGCTTCGTTTAAAACGATCTCTCGTCCTATACCTAATTGCTCAAACAAATCCAAATACTGTTGGCGCGCGAATAAACATATATAAGTTATATAATTTCAATATGAAAATTTGTATACTCACATATTTCAAAGATATATTAAAATCAGTAGCATATTCCGCGTGCTCTGCCAGCTCAATAAGTAAAAGAACAATATTCTTTTGAGATCGTTCCTCCTCCACACTGTGAATAAGTTTCGAAACACGTGAATTTGGATGTCTGTTGGCTGCTTGCAGAATATGGTCAAGCATGTTGTTACTCTCTGCCGCAGAATCCATTTATAAAATTTGGAAAAAGATAAGTTTTTCATACTTTTAGATTATATGGGTATACATCAAAATAAAATGTTTTGATGCACAAAATTACAAACACAAACACATAATTATAACATGGAGCATCCATAAAACGACGCTTCGTTAATTCCTTATCTGTATTGGATCTTTTACGTGTAATGCTTGCTTACCCGACTCAATCATTTCGATATCCCATAATAGTTGCTAATTAGAAAAACTTAAATCTTTATTATTTTTTATAATAAATACTTTAATTTTATTGTGACTCTTGTCTTTCGCCTTATTTTGGCTTTCTCTTTCAAAAGCTTTGCCTCAGAGAACGTAAATACAATGCCTTTTTTCTTCCACATGTATTTCTTCTCTCTCCTAACAGAGAACGTAAATCAACCCTTATTGCTTCCACATGTATTTCAGAGAACGATATTACGTTTTTTCAGGATTATAATATGATATTTTTCATGATGAATGATCAAAGACTAAAAATTAATTAATTTATGACATTAAAAATGTTATATTTATGTTACATTATTAATATCAAAATCTCTCAAATTTAAGTACGATACAAAGCATCACTGAACTTTCGTTAAGTTTTTAGATAGCGTAAGAGCATGCACGATATTTAGTTTCCCATAAGAAAACATTCACCATTTGAAATTTACTCAGGCGCGGTTCCGCGAACGTATATAAATAATAAATCAAGACTTAGACGATCTTTCTGCAAATAGGATAGAGTCGGTTCCAGCAAAGAACGTATAATTAATCTGAATCTTTTAATTTACGTTCCTTGTCTTAATTGAAAATTATATCATAGCAGGAAACAATTCAAAACCTAAGGCAGGTGGAGACGGTTTATTAGGTTGCGGTGTACAAAATATCCTAAGATTGAACATACCTTATTGTTTCTAAACAAAACTCTGCTAACTTCCTGCGACTAACAAATTGTTATTTTCATCAATTTTCATTTAAAAATAAAAGATCACAAATAAGAAAGTGTAAAAATGGCAAATCAAGAATCGCAGGTTATGAGCTTGCCTCTACCACCGACGCAATATATTAATCTATTTTCCGAAGAAAATATTCGGCGAAATCGTGCTCCTAGGCCACCTCCTCCTATACAAGATACTTATAATATGTTTGGAATACAATATAACAACGAAGAAATGATCAGGAGTCTAGAATCACAAAATATAAAGCGTCTTATACCAATACATTTTGATCGTCGGAAAGAATTGAAGAAACTTAATCACTCATTATTTGTCAACTTTTTAGATCTTATTGACCTTCTCATTCAGTACCCTGATAGCCCTCGGAGAACGGAAAAGGTAATATATATTTTAAAAAGGTTTATAGAGCCATATGTATTGATTCATATTTCTAGATCGATGACCTGAGTCTTCTCTTCGTTCATATGCATCATTTGTTGAATGAATTTCGGCCTCATCAGGCACGCGAAACACTAAGAGTGATGATGGAAATGCAAAAGCGACAACGAGTGGAGACTACAACAAGGTTCCAAAAGCATTTAGAACGCGTGAGAGACATAGTTAATACGGCATTTGCGGCATTACCTGAAGTACGAAATGATGATAACGAAGTCGACGAAAAGTTTAATATGGAAGTTGATTTACAAGACCTAAATGCTAATAATCGCAGCGATCAGCTAGATCGCATAATGTGCAAAATCGTTGACGAAATGGATTTATTTAATTAGATCCCATGACACACTTAAGGTTTCTTAAACAATATAATGTCGCTGATTTTCGTCTCTTTTTTTATTAAAAACAGTTGATAATAATCGAGCAGGGCCCTTAGACAAGCCTAACCTAGATAAGATAATTGGTAATAATAAATGATTTATGTTTATTCCTTTGCTTTGTCGATAAATTGTAATTTCTATATTTAAACTAGTGTTAGCAAGCAACCAAACAACTTTTGGTGTGGGTATGTTGGGGTCGGGTCTGGATAACTAGGAGTTTAACCTGGTAAAATAACCAGACGTAAACTACGTCAGTACTACGCGCGTCTCTCGAGGCACCTCGAGCTCTTCGTCTGCTATGGGCCTTTGAAGATGTTTACTGACTACTGGTGAATGACGTTTGGTGATTGTCTGTACGCCGTTCTGTCCAGCGGTCATTGTGCGTGTTGCTGGATTGTGTCCTTTAAATCTAGTACTCCATTTCAGATGTGCTCGGGAGGGGGTTCAGCCTCTAAGGTATGCTGCCGCGGTCGAATGGACGGTGTTTTGGCAGGCCTTTAACTTCTTCAACTGCCTCACGATCCTCCCGGTGCAGCATAGTTATCGATCGGTCAGCCAGTTGCTTTGTAGGTAGACAGTAATGTTAGTTTGTTGTTGTTGTTGTTGTTGTAGCTGTTCACTAGCCCCGATTAGGCACATGTTTGGTCAGTCTAAGTCGCCGAGGTCATCTAATGGTAGGCCCAGGAAACGAGCTGTTTCGACGGGGTTGGACCAAAGGGAGAGGGGGTTAGATGAGTTGGATTGAGAGGGCATGTGAAGAGGTGGTTAGTGTCGTGCGGAGACTCTCCACACGCAGGGCATACGTTGGGTATGCTGGGGTCTAGTCTGGATAAGTAGGAGTTTAATCTGCTACAGTATCCAGACCTGAGTTGTGTCATGGTCAAGCGGGTCTCTCGAGGCAGCTCGAGCTCGTTGTCTGCTATAGGTGGTAGTATTTCTCCGAGTACGCCATTCACTGGAAGAGAGTCCTTGAAGGTGTTGACTGACTCCTGGTGAATGGCGTTCAGTGCTTGTCGGTACGCCGTCCTGTCCAGCGGTTGTTGTACGTGTTGCTGGATTGTGTCCTTTAGGTCTAGTACTCCCTTCCTGATGTGCCTAGGTGGAGGTTCAGCCTCTATTAGGAACCTGCTGGGGTGCTCCCTGCGGTAGCATCCCAACAGGGACTGCTTGCACAGCAAAGCATTATGCTCCTTAACTCGTAGCATAGATGTTTCCCTGTGCAAGTGATGCTCCGGCGACATCAGGAGGTTTCCTGTCGCGGTCCTGAGGGCGGTGTTCTGGCAAGCCTGTAGCTTCTTCATCTGCGTTTCGTTCGTCCCCGGCGACCAGATCGGTGCAGCATAGTTTACGACCGGCCGGCCAATTGCTCCGGCCAATTCCTGCACCTCGGTTAGATGTTTCTTTGTCTTTACCCGAGGTGCTGCCGGCTGACGCTTTGAGGATTTTGTTGTGGCTCTGGAGTTTTGTAGCAATTACGGTCGTATGCCAAGTGAAGGGGTGTAGACTGTCCACTTGTACAGTAACCATTAACTTTGGGTTGTTTGTAATCGGAATTTCGACGCCTCCGACCTTCAGATTAAGTTCGAGCCTGTATTCCTTCGTCCAGCTGGTGAAAAGGGTAGGCGAGAATTTTGTCGGTTGTATTTTTGGTTGTCGTGTGGTGAAAAAGTTGGATGGGTCGTCGAGATAGCCGTTTACTTTCAAAAAGGCCACAAGTGTCTTCGCCACTGGGGCGATAGGAATTGCTTGCATAGTAAAGCATTAAGCTCCTCAATTCGCCGGACACCAGGAGGTTTCCTGTCGCGGTCCTGAGGGCGGTGTTTTGGAAAGCCTTTAGCTTCTTCGTCTACGTCTCGTTCGTCCCCGGCGCCCAGATCGGCGCATCATAGTTCACGACTCTGAAGACAGCCGGTTCTACGCACCGGAGTTGTCCCGAATTTTATCTGGCGAAGGGCTGACACCCTTTCGGCGATATAACCCCGATTATGTCAACAGGTAACATTAATTTAAGTATCGAATCTCCTGTTTGATATCCATGATTAGGGAATTACCGGGATCAGCGATGCGAATGGAGTCACACCTGAATGCTAATACGGCCGCTCTCGTTGAGAAATTTCGGGCGGAAATCCGCAATTTGGACTGCCGGGATGAAGAGGGCGGCAGTGGTCACGATCATTCGCAGAATAAACTATCAGATGGCTTGTGGGGAGAGCACCTAAGGCTTTCTGCGTAAATTCCGCGAATCCATTATATTTATGTATGTGTAACAAATATCGTAGCAAATATGAAGGTGGATAAAGTAAAGCGCTATTGACCATAATTAGTCATATTTATTTCATATGCTTAAATGGTCAGATTTACTTTTGCATGTCGTTATTAATAAAATCTAAATTTTGTTGTTAAAATCTGGTTCTAGGATGGATAGTTTTTTTGATTTGCTGCACAATCCCTTATGGTTGCCAGCTCACATCACAGTGTGTGGGCGTAACGAAATTTGCGTCAATACATTCTAATGTAAATAAACCAAGAAGCAAATTTTAATATGTTAAATATTATTATTGGCAATAAATTATGTATATGTGTACATCAGGCGAGAACACTGGGGGGTTTTGAAGGGTGTTTAATATATACACCATCCTATGCCCTATTCCCTTGGTGAATTCTTAGGTGGACATTAAAGCAATGAACTTGAAGTGTCTATTCGACAACTTCTACTGTTTCAAGCAGAACCGGCGGCTGGTAAGACGCTCGACAGCTTGCAAGTTTCCTAGCTTAGACGCTTTACAGCACCACGATGTGCTGAAAAACACCAGCTCTTAAGTTGTTTAAGTTTGACTTACAAAACCCCATAGCTCTACAAATTTTGAAGTGGAAAGAAGACACTACCCTGCGGAGCTCCTTGTTTAATCTTTCTGAGGTTCGATGTTGTGCCTCCAAATTCCACCGATGATTGACGAGCAATCAGGTATCGTATGATCCAACTCTTCCACCCCGGCGGTAGTGAGGATTCCACCCTGCCCGATAGTAGCACTGATTGGTTCACCATGCCAAAACCATTGAGTGTTCATGGCCTTAAATGCTGATCTGGACTCTGATAGTGTGTCAAGGTTGGGAGCAGCAAGGCCTCAAGAGTCTTCGCTACTGAGGAGAGGAGAAATATCGGCCGATATGATACTCCTTTGTTGGCAGGTTTTATCCAGTTTTAGTAGCGGGACCAGCCACATGTCGAGTGTTTTTAAGGTCTTCAAAGATAAGTTAAGGACCTTGGTGAAAAAACGGGGTCGATAGAGTATACTCTGAAACTTTTGCCTGAAGAAATAAAGTGTCGCGCTGGCGTTTGACAGTTTCTGCAGACGGCGTGTCACTTGTCACCCCATTTTGTCAAGCCAAGGGAGCAGCTTAAAGAGTCGGCTAAAATAGGTCGCGCACCTCTTCTACTGCGACGAGGCGCGGTCACGGAATAAAATTTCTACCCGGTCATCACGTCTCGTCGGATTTGACAGTGATTATCCGCTTTTTCCGCTTATAAGTGTTGACTTGTCGCCGAATCCCTTAATTGAGATCCCTGATTAGGGGATTTCCGGGTTTTCTGAAGTTAACAAGTGTCCGGTGGTCCGCGGAAACCAATTCGGAAGGCCTGTCAAGGCCTAAGAACGGCTAAGTGGTCCGATGCTAATGTCAGCACAGGATGGCAGAGCAGCACTCACAATTGCTAGGTCTGGCCAGCTTTGGCATTTACTCACAACTCTGGTGCGCGCCTATATCAGGGCATTATTCAACTAGGAACTTGTAACTAGAAGGATGTATATATTGAGTATTCCCAGCTCGATATCTCCTGACCGGATAGTTATGCCCTGACATTGTAGAGTAGTAGAGTAGTATCCCTGCGGTCGATGGCGCCATATTATTTCTTGTACAACGCAAATTGATTTTAGATTGGAAAGCAGTGTCGACCAATGTGTTCGTTGAGAAATGTCATTTAAAGATAGCGTTTAACGCCCGGAGTTATAAATCAATTGATAATTAAAAATAAATAATTAAGATGGGTAGCGAATCCGCAGAAAATCAACAGTGGGTAATACAAGTAATTTAATAAATAAATATAAAAATTAAAAATATATATATATAATATAATATATGAATATTCAGTAAAACCTGTCTAAGTTGCAGTCCGGCACTTTTAGTCCAATTTACGCGAGTGCCCATGTTATAGGGAAATGATTTTTTTGCTTTTTATTGATTTTATTATAAAAACTATTTCTTTACTTAGTTTTACACATACATACGTACTCGTACATTGAATTCAGTAAATAATAGAAAATCATAAAAATTTACACATTCTAGGATGTATACATACGTATAGATACGTTCACGGTGTGTCCTAAAAATAACCGAACTTTATATTTAAATCACACAATATACAGCGCCATCTATTGAAAATTTGCAACATTAAAAAGATACATTCATCCTCTTTCAAACGCACCTAACATCATGTAAGTCGGATGACAGATGTAAAAGTGACAGCCATTTCAATAAAACTAAAAGTGTGCTAATGGGTTCAAAAATAAAAATGGAACAAATAGCAAATATAAAATTTTGTGTCAAACTTGAAAAAAAATTAATAAAAAAAGTTTATTGTGATGATTGTATGAGTCGTAGGCAAGTTTATACATGGTTTACACGATTTAAAAATGGTCGTGAGGATTTGAATGACGACCCTAGAGCAGGACGTTCAGAAACTAGTAATCGCTGAGGAATTGAATACGAGTAAAAACACTATTTGGAGAATTTGAACTGAAGATTTGGGGGAAAGAAAGGTCTATGCGCGATTTGTTCCACATGAATTAAATGATGACCAAAAAATCGCTCGAATTTTTAATGAAAAAAGGGATTTCCCTCATCAACCATCCTCCGTATTCACCTGATCTATCACCATGTGACTATTTTTTATTTCCAAAACTGAAAACCAAGATGAAGGGAGCATTTTATGATGATATCCCAGCCATTCAAGCAGCCGTAACCGAGGTAGTGAAGAACATTTCTATAAATAACATAAAAAAATCTATGCTTACGCTGGTTGATCGTTCCAAACGTTGTGTTGAGTCAAATGGAATCTATTTTGAATAAA